CATTCCTATAATTTTAATAATATGTTAATACAAAATAATAACATATTAATTAAATGTTTAAAATTTTAATTATTAATACCATTATTAGATTGTTGCATCATATGGCTATTCAATGATCCAGGAGTACCATCCACAATATTACTCATATATATGTTTGGTTTAAGATCTAGATTATTTTCAATACTTTTATTGAGTCCTTCAGAATAAAATGGAGCACTGACAGTTTTTGGATGGCCACTGAAATAACAAAAGAATTAAATTATAACTGTTTATGTTATAGGAATAAATAGAATGAAAATCATTATTTTGTAAAGAAATTAATCTATGTAGTCAACAAGGTTAAAGATGATCAAAAACATAATTCCTCCAAATGCTCCTACTGAATTATAAGGTTTTTGTGGTTTAAGTAATATACTTTAAGCTAAATTTATTTTTTGTTTAGATTTATCAAGTTTTGTAGACTAAACTGTATAAACAGAAACAGGTCTTCGATTTATTTGAAAATCATAGTTTACTTCTAAAAATATAAAACTAAATGTGTCTGTTTATTTTTATACTTTTAGCCTTTAATAGCTTTAATTAAGCAACAATTATTTTTGATTTTGTGAATATTTGTTTTACTCTATGTGACTGTATGATTTCTAAGCTTACATTAATTCTTAAAAAATTATTTTTAAAATAATCACCTTCCAGATTCCATTTCATAGTTCTTTTTCTCTGAAATTTAAAAAACAAAGAGGTTATCAATAAGTTGTAATTATATATACATGGTATATATAAACTAATAATTTATAGTTAGTCAACATGAATCCAGAATTCATACAGAATGGCTTATAACAAACATTAAAGTCTATACACAAATTGATACAATTTATTTATGATGAATTGCTAAGATCTGAAGCAATCCATCAGTGTAAATTTAGCTCAGATATTTGAAAAAATAATGAGCAGGTCACAAAATATCTGGATTCATAGAATCTTCCTATATTTAAAAATTTTTTTTACAGATAGCAACATACCATTTTTGCCTTTTCTACACCAACAACAACATATCACACTAATAATTAAAATGATAAGAACACAGCCTGCAATGACAATGATGATTACAATGTTGATTGTTGATAGTGCTGGTTTTGATTCCTTGGATTTTTCTACAGTAACTATAAAAATAAAAAAAATACTTATTGTAAACATACAGAAAATTTTATTATAAATACAGTGGTACCTCAGGTTACGAACGCCCCAGCATACGAAATTTTCAGGATACGACATGAAATTTGAACATATTTTTGCTCCACGATACGAACAAAAATTCACCATACGACGTTACATTAGTTCGCATTTTTCATTTGTTTTTCTTACTACAGTTATTTTTTTAAATGTATTACTTGGCTTTAATTTGAGTATGTTTTTCGCGTTGGAACGAATTATTTGGTTTTACATGTAATCGTATGGGAAAAGATGATCCACCTTACGACATTTTCATGATACGATCTCAGTTTCGGAACGGATTAATNTTATCTTCATTGTGGACTATCTGAATGCATTATAAGCATGGAAAAAAGGCATCTTAGTGCACTTAAGGGAGAAATAGTTTTTAAATGTAAAAATTTAACTCTTGTCTTACTAATCTTTGATCACCATCAAGTTCATTATTTAATTATTTTGTACCATCTTACAAAGATAAAATGTTATATTGAATGCGAATTTTTTTGTCATATGTAAAATAATGAAAGGGAAAATTTATCATCACAATATATTTTGCTAAAATATGTTAAATTTATTAATCACCACCTATTTATTTTTTTAAGGGCATAGAATTTTATGATGTATATCATAATTATTTAGCATTTTGATTATTTCACTGTAGTGGGTGATTGGTTCACAAACAGTTTGGATAGCGAACAAATCAGATAACAAACACTTTAGTGAAGGATTTTTTTATGATCAGACAATGAACACTTTACTGAACAAATATAAAAAGAAGCAGTGGAAAATAACAAGTACCAATTGATTTTTCCTTGTCTTCAGGTAACAATTCGAAAACTTTCAAAGCGAGGGAGACGTCAACATTGACGCTCAACCCGATACCAATCAGATAGTATAATATTCCTCCAAATTTTGAAACTCTCCCTTGTAATTCCAGCTTTTTGTTTACCTTGCTGACAAATAATTTTTTATATTCTTTGCGAGACTGTGAGACTGTCAGACAGGCACTTGTTAAGTTTTGCATCTGGGTTTATTTACGAAAGGTGAAAGTTTAACTGTCCCATTGGATATTCATTAATGTTTTAATACCAAATTTCAAATGTCATTCGGGCCTTGCATTTAAATAACTTTTTGTGGGCTAGTTCATTTCTGTTCTCTGAATTTTTGCAAGTGCTTTTCTGAAATTTTTATTTAAAAAAGAAACTGATAATATTATGGAGCCTAAAAAGAGGAGTGTCAAGAACTGTGCTCACCATGGAGACCAAGTAAGAGATAATAGCCAAGGTAGAAAGTGAGCACAAGATGTCTGATGTTGCTAGGCAGTATGGCTTGAACAGGTCTACAGTAGGCATAATCTTAGCTATGAAAGCTATATCAAGAAGTCTCAAGCTACTAATGGAGTAATGAAAATCACATCTGAGAAATAAAAGAGCATTTTAGAGCTCATAATGGAACCTGAAACTGATCTGATGACAAAACTCCAAGAACTCTCAAATGAAGAATACCAAGAAACTCAGCGAGATGTGTTTTCTTTTGAAAAAGAGGAAGACGAAAGAGGACCAATGTCGACATCTGCTGCTAAAGATCTTTTGAATAAGTGGGAGGATGTCAGAACAACGATCATCCAAGTGGCATCCAAACCAGAATAAGGTTAATGGGATTAGGAATTACAATACTATTAATTACTTTCGAAAAATCCTGAAGAAAAGAGAAAAGCAATCGACATTGGACTGATTCTTTAACCTCCACAAACAGAAAAAACATGACTAATAAAAATGCAAGACTGCACATATATATGTACTTTTACTATTACATATAAATAAATATAGTAAAAAAGTATATATTTTTTATTTTTTGGAGTCTCCAGAACAAATTAATCAAATTCCCATAAAAACCTATGGTAAATTGATAATTGGTTAATGAACAATTCGGATAACAAACAAAGTCATGGAACGAATTTTATGTTCGTTAACCGATCACCCACTGTATTACTAAATATTACTAAACATTTCTGACATCAGTTATAAAACAAAAAAAATTTAAGTAATGTAATTTAATTCAACCTGCATTTGACAAAATGATAAATAAAAACCTAATAATTAGAAGTTTTTATTCACTTACTTAGAGGACTAACTAATCTTTCATCACCACACCAAGAATGATTGGTTTGAAGACAAAGTACAACTCTAATATCAGTAAATCCTTCAACAGGAGGATTTATTTCTATTTCCTCTTCATAATTTTGCAAAGGGAATAACTTTTGTAATTGCCATTCTTCACTTCCAGGTGAACGTGCCTCTACCTGAAATTTAATAAAATATAATTATTATAAACTGATATGATTATCTAACTATTGTATTTTTTTTAATGTATTACTTGGCTTTAATTTGAGTATGTTTTTCGCGTTGGAACGAATTATTTGGTTTTACATGTAATCGTATGGGAAAAGATGATCCACCTTACGACATTTTCATGATACGATCTCAGTTTCGGAACGGATTAATTTCGTATCCTGAGGTACCACTGT